TATACACTCTGCACTCACTACAAACACACATTCACTATACACACTCTGCATTCATTATACACACTCTGCACTCACTACAAAAACACTACATTCACTATACACACTGCACTCACTAGAAACACACTACATTTATTATACACACTGCACTCACTACAAATACACTACATTTATTATACACACTGCACTCACTTCAAATACACTACATTCATTATACACACTCTGCACTCACTAAAAACACACTGCATTCATTATACACACTCTGCACTCACTACAAATACACTACAATTATTATTCACACAGCACTCACTACAAACACACTACATTTATTATTCATACTCTGCATTCACTACAAACACACTACATTCATTATACACACACTGCACTGCACTATATGCATAGGAGTGTATTTTTTTTTTTTTTAAGGGGGGGGGGGTTGGAAGCGGGAATCTTGGGTGAGTTCCCACACTTTTTTCCCCAGGACTTGACCCCTGTATGTAACTATGTAACTTGCTAAAATACAGAATGCATCACATGCTGATATACAAAATACATGATCCTATACAATAAACCACAAAAGGACAACCATAATGTGGTGAGGTGAGTATATATATATTCATATTGAATGATATACCCTGGGTCAGAACATGTAGATGTGCTGATACTAGAGTGAGGCCCGAGATCGTAGGGCGGACAGGCCGGCAGAACTAGCACATATCATGACTTCTCACAATGTTTTTATCACAGTAAGCACCATCTACCTACCTAACTTGTTGAAGGCAGAAGGGCCTTTGCCAACATTCACAATGGACGCAATTAGCACTGCATGTTTTGTATGTCAAAAGTGTGTTCCATATTACTATTTTTTTCCAGTTGGCTATTGTCATCTACACACTTATACTATTGAAACACCTGGTCAGAAGTTATTTTGTGGTTAGATATATGAAGTATCTGTATTAAGCTACTTGTTAAAGAAAATAAAAGACAAAACTCACAAATTACATTGGGCAGACTATATTTACATTTACCCTCATTTTACATTCACTGTTCATATTGGTATGACTAATGCTATATGTAAACCAAAAACAATACGGTTATCCAGCACCAAGGTGTGCCCCGATGTAAAATGATCAGGGTTTGGTGACCTCAGCATAATCTTGCATCTCCTAATGTAGCGTTTTTAAATCTGGCACACTCATTAATTCTTCTAGTTTTCATAAACCACATTACAATCAGTTAAACCCCAAACACATCTACGTGACCTACTTTGCATCTCAAAGTATCCACAACATCACCAAGAAAAAAACTAAAAAGGGCAGGTCCTAGGACTATTCCACTGCCTGCAGTTCATCTTATGAAAATAAATCTGAAAAATTTCCACTTCTCTACACAGCCTTAAAGGATCACTATAGGGTCAGGAACACAAACATGTATTCCTGACCCTATAGTGTTAAAACTACCATCTAGCCCCCCTTGGCCCCTCTGGCCTCCATAAATATAGCAAAATCTTACTGTATTCAAGCCTGAAGCTGTAACTCTGCATTGTGTTAGACTCAGAAAAACAAGCTGTCTGCTGACATCAGTAGAAGTGGTAGCCTGATCCAATCACAATGCTTCCCCATAGGATTGGCTGAGAATGACAAACAGGCAGAGCCAGCATGATTCAAACACAGCCCTGGCCAATCAGCATCTCCTCATAGAGATGAATCGAATCAATGAATCTCTATGAGGAAAGTTCAGTATCTGCATGCAGAGGGAGGAGATACTGAATGTGTGGATGCATTTTAGGCAGCCATGACCCAGGAAGGATCTCTAACAGCTATCTGAGGAGGGACCAGTGAAGTTATAACTAGGCTGTAATGTAAACACTGCATTTTCTCTGAAAAGACCGTGTTTATAGCAAAAAGCCTGAAGGTAATGATTCTACTCACCGGAACAAATTCAATAAGCTGTAGTTGTTCTGGTGACTATAGTGTCCCTTTAAAGGGACACTATAGTCAACAGAAGAACTTCAGCTTAATGTAGTTTATGATCTTTATGATCTTTATACAAAATATCTTGATAACTATGTTGTCTACTGAGATACAATTAGTACCAAAATTGTCAAATTAGATCTAATGGCTTCCACTGGGCAATAGCTTGACTTGAGCTATTGTGAGTGCAAAATGTCCTTTACCATATAAATAAGCTATCTATTTTAAGCATATCTCTCCAAACACTGTATTATTTAAAGTATTATTTTATAAATGGACCCATGAACAAAGAGTCTATTGACATTACACAAGCTTAAATCCAGTGTGTTTGTTTATGGTTGGTCCACAATAGGATTCCATGAGTGATGTAAGATTTATTTCACTGTATGAAGACTTATTTGGTAAACAGTAGCAATATATCACCAAATATACTTTGTTTCCATGCACCCCCATTCTAAAATTAGGTTAAAATATAGATTTCACTTTGTGTTTAATAATGTTTCACCTTACCAATAATCTATAGAAATTGATACTAGTGTCATAAAAATATTATACATTTTTATTTTTCAGTTAGAAAATGTTCTACTGGACACTGAAACTATGTTTTAAAAAAAAGGTTATAATTGTTTCCAGAAGGATCAGGAACTAAATAAAGTAAAATAAAGAGCACTCGGCAAAGTACGTCATTCGTGTTTTGGTATTTCGTACGGGATATTAACATATAAAAAAAAACAAAAAAAAACATGCAAGTCATTCATCTGCATATCATATGTATACAGGTGATTTTAAAATATCAACACAGAATATAACAGACAAGACATCCTGGCAACAAATATTAGGGAGAAGCAGAACTATATCATTATCACATTCTAAAAAAAATAAGAAACTGGTTTTGAGCAGAAGGCAGAATACCACATATAAAATCAAGCAGAAAAAAACCTTGAAACTTTATTGTTATATACATACAGTCATGGGAAAATGGAAGTACAACCTCTTTGAATTCTATTGTGTTACATATTGAGACATAATAACAATCATCTGTTCCTTAGCAGGTAAATACAACCTCAGGTGAACAGCAGCCCATCACATATTACACCTTATCATGATTTACTTGACAAAAATAAAGCCAAAATGGAGAAACCATGTGTGAAAAACTAAGTACACTCGTACTGCTTTCATAGGAATTAAGAGCCTGACTGCAGTCAGGTGCTTCTAATTAAATGCCCTTGATTAATTGATCATCAGCAAGTGTGGCAACCTCTATAGTTTTAGTGGTTTGCTGGTCTGGAGCATTTGTGTATGTGTTAACACAATGCCAAGGAGGAAAGGCATCAGCAATGATCTTAGAGAAGCAATTGTTGAAGTCATTTCCAAACATTTTATAGTCCATCATTTTGCAGTGAGGAATATTATTCAAAGTATGCAAATTCACCACCTGATCACCTGTCATCTGATAAGGTGAGACCGTGCAGTGCTTAAAGAAATTGTAAAAGAGCTACTTTTTACACTCAACAGACCTAAGTTAGCATGTTAAATGTTAAATTCCAACGACAAAACAAGTAGAAAAAGATTAAACAAGTATGGTTTGTTTGGAAGGGTTGCCAGGAAAAATCCTCTCCTCTCTAAGAAGTACATGGCAGCAGGGCTTAGGTTTGCAAAGTTGGATTTGAACTAACCACAAGACTTCTAGAACAATATCCTTTGGACAGCTGAGATCAAAGTAGAAATGTTTGGCCACAATACACAGCACCATGTTTGGCATTAGCCAAACACAGTATCAGCACAAATACCTCATACCGACGGTCAATCATTATGATGGAGGGGTGGTGGTTTCTGCTTGTTTTGCAGCCACATGACCTGGGAACCTTGCAGTCACTGAATTGACCATGAACTCCTCAGTATACCAAAGTATTCTAGAGTCAAATATGAGGTCATCTATCTCAAGCACACCAGCACATCTACAACAGAATGGATGAAAAAGAAAAGAAGCAATGTGTTGTAATAGCCAGTCAAAGTCCAGACCTCAGCCCAATGGAAATGCTGTCACAGGACCTTCAGAGAGCTGCGTATAAACAAATGCCAGCAAACCTCAATGAACTGAAGCAACGTTGTAACTAAGAGTGCGCCAAAATTCTTCCACAACGATGTGAGAGACTGATAAGGTCATACAGAAAACAATTACTTCAAGTCAGGGCCGTCTATAATATGATTAGGACCCTGGGCAATGCATTTTCTTGGGCCCCATGGGCCCTGTCCCTGCCACTGCCTCACCCCCCAATTACGTCCAACCCGCAATCACACTGACAGACGTACTGGCACATACACACACAGACAGACATTAAAACATTCACAGATACATACTGACACACAAAGTCACTACACACAAATATATACTGGCAGACATACTGACACACACACAGACATACATACATACACAGACACATACATTAACAGATATACTGACACACACACAAACACATACACTGACAGATATACTAAAACACAGACACATACACTGACAGACACATTGACACACACACACACAGGCATACTGACATATACACACAGGCATACTGACATATACACAGACAGACGTAATGGCTGATACAGACAGACATTAAACATTCACAGATATATACTGACACACACATACACAGACATACAAATATATCCTGGCAGACATACTGACACACACAGACACAGACATACATACATACATACACACACAGACACATACACTGACAGACATACTGACTGACACACACATACACACACATACTTACATACACACACAGACATACTGACACACAAAGACATGCTGACACCCACACACAGACATACTGACATACACACAGACAGACTGGCACATACACACAGACAGACATTAAAACATTCACAGATACATACTGACACACACATACACTGACACACAAATATATCCTGGCAGACATACTGACACACACGTACACACACACACAGACATACTGGCATACACGCAGACATACTGACACACACACACGGACATACACACACAGACATACTCGCATACACACACACACAGACATACTGGCATACACACACAGACATACTGGCATACACACACACACATACTGACACACACACACACACACACACACAGACATACTGGCATACACACAGACATACTGGCATACACACAGACATACTGGCATACACACACAGGCATACACACACAGACATACTGACACACACACACACAGACATACTGGCATACACACAGACATACTGGCATACACACACAGACATACTGACACACACACACACACACACACACACACTGACACACACACACAGACCTACTGACATACATTTAGCCACCCTCCAGGTTCTTACCTTTTCCTGGAGGGTGGTTTCCCTGGTCCAGTGGCAGGCTGAGGCAGATGGGAGTTCTCCTCTGGAACTCCCCTCCTCCCTGCCTTCCTCCTCCCGCGCGGCCATTATCTCCGGTGGGAGGAAGTGACGTCACTTCCTCCCAGCCGGCTGCAGAACCGGAAGAGGGGCCCGGTCGCGCTGTTTAAGCGCCACAGCGCCCGACCGGGCCCCTGCTGACACATGCTCCCCGGGTGGCCCTTAGTGCATGGGCCACCCGGGGAGCCTCCTCAGTGTGCGGGAGCCGCACCGCCCGGTCCATAGGGGCTGCACAAATCGCGGGGCCCACAGAGCAGCTGCTCTGGGCCCCCAGGAGCAACTGGGCCCGGGGCAGCTGCCCCGTTTGCCCCGCGTTAAAGACGGCCCTGCTTCAAGTTATTGCTGTTAAAGGTGGTATTACAAACTATTGAATCATAATGTGCACTTCACACAGGGCTTCACCATTTTGGCTTTATTTTTGTTAAATAAATCATGACACAGTGTAATATGGCATGTGTTGTTGTTAACCCGAGGTTGTATTTCCCTAATTTTCAAACCTGCTAAGGAACAGATGTAAAACCATAGAATTCATAGAGGGTGTAATTTGTTTTTTTCTAATACTGTAAATACATATAAACTGATCAGCCACAACATTAAAACCACTTGCCTTATATCATCAACAGTTGTGATATATTGCGGTCTTTTACGATTTCATTCAAAAAGGAATTTTTATTGCATTTTGTTAATATCCAATTTGATGATTAAGATCAAAAGAGAGCAGAAAATATATACTGTTGGTGAGCTTTGTCATTTTGGTGTTATAGACATAGGTGACAGGTGAATTTCAGTATTTTTTTCTAAATATAAACTAGTTCAACTAACAACTTTTTAATGGATGAAGACTTGTTTTGTATAGGTATGGTTTTTGACCCTATACAATCAGAGATGTGATAATTAAGACCATGTCTAAAAAAAAAAGCCTCAATTTATATTTACACCTCAACAGTCAATACTCATTTTATCATGTTTATTGGAGAACAATTGTACTTGTGGCTCTATCCAGAGGGCAAATAGCAGCAGGGTGATTGGGCATCCTTGATGGGTACCAATTAGGTTTAAGAAAGTGGGAAATATTACTTCTATTGTTGTCGCTGATGAGCACAGAGTTTGGTATAGGGCCTGAAGGCATCTTAATGTTAACCCTATCAAAAACAAGAGTTGTAGACTGAGCCCTTGGGTGATCCATAAGGTTAAGTTTTCTCTGGATGTTATATGGTGCACCTTTTGGTAACATGGTGCAGCAATATACAAAAAATGTTACACACATCATGTTTTTTTGGGGGGGGGGGGTTCGTGTGGATTCGTACATCAATGCCTGTATTGTCACAACAGCAGTAACAAGCGCAGTCATAGTCAACATTATAAAACATAGGTATGGCATGAGTAAGCTTGGCACATTTTTTGTTATTTAGTAATTCAGGATGTAGCATAATGTGAAGAACAACATGAAACAGTTCGTACAAGCACATGTTTGGGGGAAAGCTATACGTTTGGTTTGAGAGTGTGATATTCGCATGAGCCAATGCTTGTGTAAGGAACTATCTCTCAGAGCAGAGAAGCGGGTGCGTGGGCTTGCGATGCGTGAGTGTGAGGTATGCAATGCATAGGTATGATTGAAATTTAACTTAGAGTGATACCCCCCCTTTGAGCTTACAGTGATACCCCCTCAGTCAAATAAGATCATTAGATTCATTGTAGCTAAAACTAAACACTAAACACTAAACACATGTGAGTGTATAACTTAAGTCCATAGAGGTATGAAGCAATGGGCACTGTGCCTGCTGTATAGTCCCAGTCCTGATTCTCAGGACAGCCAATGCCCTGCACGTGCTGAGGGTATCCGCGCTTTGCTGGTCGGTACTTCCCACTAGGTAACCCAGGAGTAATGATGCATAGGGTCCCTGTTCCGTGAGGTTGTGAGCTTGGAGGGGTATATAGAGGCCTCTTTGCGATTCCCGATGCTCGGTGTGCCCCATGACCTAGTCGCAGGCTGCCACAGCTCTGGGATGGCCCCTCCGATGTTGTCTTGTTATTAGGTTTCTTGCCCTTTCTTTCATCAGTCATTTTGGGCTAGTTATGCCCCACCGGGTCATGTGCCGTGTCTCAGCCCGCAGTTGAGGTGGCCATAGGCGATGTCTGTTGGGCGCTCCCATGGCTCCGGGCACCAACCCCGGTCTGCTGCTGCTCTCGGTAAGGCTCCATGAGTGTGGCCCCCAAATGGTTCCGTGCTGGTGGTGGCGCGTATAGTTAGGGGGGGTTATTGCTTTCCTCTGCTTGTCTACACGTGTTGGGCTCTGTGGTAGGTAATAGGGCAGAGACTCTGGCTCCGGAGGTCGCATGTGAGCCTCCAATTCCTTCCAAAAGGAGGTGAAAATTCTGTTCAACCGGAGCTCCGTTTCCAGCCTTGCACTACATGAGTCTTTGGTGCGGGAGGCATCCGCCATTTTGTAAGCCTCATTGGTTGTAAGCTCGGGACTCCATGTCACTGTCGTGTTCTCACTGCTTTGCAGGTTGATTGTGTGAGGGTGGACCGGGATGACCCCCACCGGTCCAGAGGGGAGGGAACGAAGGCCCAGGTTTAGATTCTTGGCTAGTCGCGGCAGCGGGAAAGCGGCCGTCGCTCCCGCGCCTGCCATGCTTGTAGGCTTCACCAGAGTTCCGGGTGAAAACTGCATGGACTGTCGCTTGGGTTGTATCATCTTGTTCACCTCAATGTCCTCTCTCGCTTGGTGGCCTTACTATGTCGGATAATCGCCGTTTTATTAGCAAGATCCTGTTTTATTTACTTCGTTCAGCAGGAGCTGCTGAGGTTAGCGTCCTTACGGCTCTGTGGTCAGGCCCCGCCCCACACATCATGTTTTAAGCATATATTTTCTTGTTTTGCTATAAAAACTCAGTAGTAAGTCTATAAATCATCATGTCTAAATCACATGGGTTTTATAATGGCCATTATAGAAAAAATTTACAACAAATTTCTAAAGAAGAAATAAAAAATAAAAGTATATTACCCAGTTTAATTTTAAATCACGTCTTCGGTTGGTTGTGTCTTTAAAATCTCCTGCATAGTGTACTAAATTCTTGACAAAATTGGCAAGTATTGTTATTACAGTGAAAAACGCAAACAGATGAATTGAAGACACATTTCTAAAATACACATGTGTTGAGTAGGTGTGGATTATACACTCAAGAAACGTACGCATATACATGCTTACGATTTAGTTCAATGGAATCAACTTGTAATCTGTCATCTGATATGCATTATCTTTAACAAAAATATGCAGAGCTTCGGTATTGTATTTCTAAATCAATGAACACCCAGTGGATGGAATAACTCTGTAACAAGCAGGAAATGACAGAATGTTTCTAGTGAATAAGAAAAAGTAATACAATTATTTTGATCAAGACTGGAAGAATTTTCATGAAATCTTTGTAAAGTATTTATATTCAAGAAAATGGAATTGACGTGACACACATTTATAATAAAGCCATAGTATAGGCATAAAAATTATAGAAATCTTGAGTAAATATTAGTTTGTGAAATAGCATCTTATAGAAGGTAGAAAGATATGTTTCAGAACAAAGAAAGAAAACAAGAGAAATAAATACAAATGTGACTTTACATCTTAGTTTAAGAATTTTTCCAAATTCCATACATATTCCATTTCTGTTGGCGATGTAGCCATGCAGAGGGCTCCTACACCCATATTTGGTGGAACTGTTAGAAGTTAAAGCGGCACTGTCATGCCGAATCCTGTTTTTTTTAACCCCCCTCTGGCCTCTACTATCTCTAATTGACCCCCTAGTCACCCCCAAATGCCCCTAAGCCCCCCACATTACCTATTATGTGTTCCTTATTTTCTGCCCCGATCTATATCCAGGGCGCCACCATCTTTGTGTGGGTAGATGAAGTCCCTGCGGGACACGTCATCGGCCCACACTAGACAGACTGTGAGATTCCCGCACATGCCCAGTGAAATACCTGGACATGCGAACGGGAATTTCATCTATTCATTCATTCATCAGACAGACGAATGAGTGAATAGAAATATCAGCCGAACAAACATACACTGAATATCTGAGTATTAGTGTTTGTTTGTTCGTTGAGTTTATTACAAGGAGGGAGCTAGCGGCGTGCAGCTCCCTCCTTGTAATACGTAAAGATAGAAGCGGCAGGGAGCTGTGCTCCCCACCACTTCATAAGCCCCCCCAGATCCCCCCTCACTCTCTGGGGGTCAATATGACCCCCATAATAGCATAAGGGAGATTAAAATCTCCCCAATGCCCCTACTCGCTATACCGTGTCCACTAAACAGTGAGCAGCCTGTGGCTGCTCACTGTAAAAAAACAAAAAAAAACTATTGGCCCCCACCCCTAAACAACGGGTGGGGGCCCTAAAGTAAAATAAGGAGGGAGACCTAATGTCCCCCCCCCGGCCCCCACCCCTGGGCGGCGGGTGGGGGCCCTAAGTCAATTCCCCCCCCCCAAGGTGACTAGGTGTCCCCAAGCCCCTAGTCACCCCCTCCACCCAAATAAAAAGTCCCTACCTACCCCCCTCACCCTAAAAAATAGGGGGGAGTAAAATAAAATTAAACTTACCATTCGATGTCTTCTTTTTTCTCAAATCTTCATTTGTCAGCCCCAAAAAAGGCCAAATAAAAAACCATCATAACCGTCGAATTTAAATAAATAAAAATCCCGAGCGCAAAAAAAAAAAAAACAGACGAAAAAGAAAAAACCAGAGCGCAAAAAAATAATCCATCTTCACCCATGGAGGGCTCCGCGCAGACTGAACTCCGCAGGGCGGGTGAAGGCTTATAAAGCCTTGCCCTGCCCTGCCCTGCAATTAGGCTAAGAACACTCTGATTGGTGGGTTTAAGCCAATCAGAGTGCTCTTTGTGATTTTACACAGCGTGGGAAAATTCAAAAGAACTTTCCCACGCTGTGTAAAATGACACAGAGCACTGTGATTGGATGGCTTGAAATCCATCCAATCACAGTGCTCTGTGTCATTTTACACAGCGTTGGAAAGTTCTTTGGAACCATAAGACAAATCAGACTGGCACTGGGGGAATAATTTATATGTTAAGCCGTTCAAAAACGGTTTAGGATAATAAGGTAAGACTGAGGTAAGACTGAGCCCATGTCTTCTAGCCCCGTATCAATGTCAATGAATAAGGTAACAAAGTTCTTCCTTCAAGTTAAAGTTGTTTTGGTGGTTTTGAGTATCCCTTTAAAAGAAGCTGCCACTACCTATGATTTAAATATGTATTTGTGAGGTGTGAAAAAATAAACGTTAGGTGTAGAAATCCATAACTCTTTATCCTGCCTTCGACTTGACTCTCTGTCAATCATTGTTATAAACTTTGTCATTTGCAAATGACAGTCAGCATAGAGAAAGCATACAGAGAAAAGAAGAAATGACAAACAAAATTTCAATATCTCCTACTCATTTGCAATGTTTGCCCTGATTTTGCCATGTCTGAAATGGAATATGATGTAAATTGACACTGTAAGCACCATGGCTGTGGAGGAGGGGGGTCAGTTTGACAAACAAAGAGGGACTGCACCCAAAAATTCTCTACACCATAACCACTAAAACAAGTTATTGTGGAAATGGAGATATGAGTGCACCTTTAATTAGATTTCTTTTTCAAATAATGGAACACTGATTTATTCTTCTACAATCTTTTTGGGAGAATATGTATTTTAATTTAAAATTATGCAAACTTTTGACCTGGTACACTGATTTATTCTTCTAAAATCTTTTTGGGAGAATATGTATTTTTAATTTAAAATTATGCAAATTTTGAATCAGGAGTTAATGATACCATATAGATAATCTGAAGGATTTAGTAAATTGCCAAAGACAGAGACTGCCATGTAATTATTTTCAATGCAACTAGATACAATTTCATTCTTTTAGGTCATCAGGGATGTTAGAAGCGCAGTTGTGCGTCAAAGAATTAAGTTCATGATCAGTTCAGGCTCTGATTCCGTTTCATTGATGCACTAGTGGTGTAGTTATATTATTGTTACTATAACTTATTGAATATTTTGATTTTAGCACATTTGTATAACGGCAAATGCCTTGATAAATGCTGCTTTGATTACGAGCCCAGATGTCAGTGCTTCTCCAAGTCTTTGCTTGTCCTCAGTTGCCCCAAAGAACAATGGCCTCTTGGTGCCAAAAGGTTAACTGTTATTTGCGTTATACTTAGGATAAATGTCCAGATGTTCAAAAATACAATCAAAGCCAGCAATACCTCTCTTAAAGATAAACAATGGGAAAACAAAAAAACTACCCAACCCCACATTATATATATATTCAAAATTATGCAAACATGTTAAATATACTTATCTTAAATGTTCCTCTACAAGTAGAGAACCGTGGAACTGGGAAGATTCCTTCCTACCAGAAACCTCTCATTATAGTCTGTGGGGTCTCATCTTATTCCATAAATCTCTGTCAGTGGTTTATGGACTAAGTATTTTATCTGAAATAGCAGGTCTTCTCATAACATAGGATGAGTGAATCTGCTCAAAATATGGATAGCAGCTATACTGTGGATGCCATCCATTTATACACAGCTTGGTTTACAGGTTTGTTGGGAGTTCACAATTTTATATTAAATTATTAATTTCAAAATAACTGAGTGGGAAACTAAGCTAACATGGAGAATATTAACAATTTAGTAATTTTGGACTGACTTTGCAATTCCATTGTCAATGTCCAGACAACCCATATATAGGCTGTGTTAGAAAACCCAATACAATCAAAAGATACCATAAGTTTAAGTCTACCTTAATTGGAGACCTGTGTAAAGAGACAAGAGAAGACTGGATGCAGAAAATGATTAAAGGGACACTATAGGCACCCAGACAACATTATCTAATTGAAGCGGTCTGGGTGCAGTGTCCCTGTCCCCTCAGCTCTGCAATGTAAAATATTGCTGTTTTAGAGAAACTGTAATGTTTATATTGGAGGGATAAGTAGTTGTTGTCAGACAGCCACCAGAGATGTTTTTTGCATTCAGACGGAGTTTAACTGGAGGCACTGAAAAGAGGTATATTTTTTATCTATTTATTGTTTAACCTTTTTAACATCGGGAAGGGAGGCATGGATGGACAATAAATTTATGCTTGAAGGACACTGTAGTTTTAGGAATACACTTTTGTATTCATAATGCGATAATGTTCCTTTAACCCTTTTCTATGACAATAAAACAAAAGATGAATAAAAGTGTTTTTTATGTCTACAAGCATATGTTAGGTGTTATTGTGCAAGAAATCTAGAACTTGGTAGAACTTTGCCAGGCGCCCCCTACTATCCCGTCACTTATAAAGTGTGATAGGTACGTGCATTTTCTACGTTTGTGCGTGTGAGAGAGCATGGCGGTGACGTAGGCTCCTGGAAGTCACCAAGTGCTTAAAGCGACCCTTTCATTTGTGTAATATTTCATAAAGAAAAAATCTCTTTAATACTAATATGTGCTGCTCTAAAGCAGGCTTGGCACATTAAGGGGGGTGCAAAATGTGGAACAGACCCCCAAAGTGTCATAAACACTTTAAGATATAACAGAGGGGTATACACCCCATATCAGCAGGCATGGCAGTGGCTCCTTAGGTTGGGTGGGATACAGTATCCCTCCTCCTATGACAGTGCTGCTCTCTATGAAAATCTACACTGACTGTAAACAGATACATAATGGACCAAAGGCAGAGCTCAAGGCTATTTAGAGCTTTGGCAATCTTCATGCTTTGCCCTGAGCCATGACTGTCTTTTATTTCTACAGCTGAGGATCTATTTTTTGGTTCTTGCATCCTGCGCCATACAATGCATTGAGGGTGTCACGGTATGCGTATCCCTCCGCGGCGGCCCCGTTACAGCGCTACATATTCCTCCGCGGACTCGCTGCCGCTGGCTGCGTGTAGCAGCGCTGGGTAGGAGGCTGGTGGGGGCGTGG